AAAGTTTTTTTTTTTTAATTTATTTTTATTTTTTTTTTATTTGAGAGGTAGAGGTAGAGAGAGAGAGATTTTCATCTGCTGTTTCACTCCTCAAATGCCTGGAGTTGGGCCAATCTGAAGTCAGGAGCCAGGAGCTTCTTCCAGTTCTCCCATGCAGGTACAGGGCCCAAGGACTTGGGCCATCTTCCACTTCTTTCCAGAGAGCTGGATCGGAAGTGGACGGCCACGCCTCAAGCTGGCACTCATATGGGATGCGGACACTGCAGGCGGTGGCTTTACTTGCTGTGCCACAACACTGGCCTGTATTTTTTTCCTTTCTTAAAGTTTTTTCTCTTAAGAACCATCACCTGTATTTTCTTCTAATATGTGTATGATTTTTAAAATTTACCATTTGAATACATTACTTTTTCTGAAATGACTAAAACTTTGTCCCCACATATTTATTAATAATACTAATAACAATTATAGTCACCATCACTTATGGGATTACTATACCATACTAGACATTGTTCTATTCTGCAGTGCTTTATGTATATGAAATCATTTAGTTATCACAGTAACCTTATGAGATCAATTCTTTTATCCCCACTTTACAGATGAAGAAATGGAGATGTACAACAAGTTCAGTAAATTGTTCAAGGTTATTGTATCACACTAGGAGACAGAAACTTCACAGTAGTTTAGACAAGGGAAAGTTTAATACAAAGTGTTATCATGCAAACCCATTTACAGGTATTCTTAGCCTAGACTGCATAAGAAGAATTGTATGTGGTGAAATGTTGGAACCATTCCTCTTTTGATCTCTGTTTGATGTTGAAAGGCTGAACTAATAGGCAATGTCAGTTTCTCTCTTTCACATTCTTCCTTCTTGAGACTGTCAGTTTCAAGGATGCAAATTGCATTGCAAAGTCAAACTGACTTAAACATTTGGGCCAGTGCACTATTTACTTCCATGTGTTTGGAAGACACGTTAGGGCACAGCATTTGAGAGCCCTTTGTATCATTGCTTTTACAAAGAGCCCCTAATCTTAGTTTACTAGAAACCAGTTTAAGATCGATATGATGGAGTTTCTGTGCTGTTGCTGGGATTGGGAGAGATAAAACATGTCATTTCAAAAAAAAAAAAAAAAAAACCAGTGTTATCATGTAGTTAAGAGAGAGTGTCTACGTAAAGATAGAAAAGAACTCAAAGTGTATCCTAGGATAGAAAGATAATGCTCAAAGAAATACGAACTTGAAAGTGGATTCAAACCTCATTGAAGATGTGATTGCAGCCTATTGTATAGCAGGAGAGTTGCTGATTTCTCCAGGTCAGAGCTGATCTGTAGTCATTGGTATGAGCAAAACCAATCCTGTGAAGCGCAGGCAACCTCTGTGGGGTAGGTAGACACATGTCAAGAGATTGTGGAAAGTTTGGCTCACTAGACTGCCATCCCCATGCTATACTTGCTTTGAATGCCCTTGAGGTGGAGAAGGAGTAGTGATTGGTCACTGGACGCTGACTAGGGTAAGGTCTCCTTTCTTGATCCTAAGCTTTGCTTTTATGGCCTGAATCAGGAGCTGGAGAAAACATGTGGTGACCAAATGCTAGAGAAATCTGTACCCTGTGGACACTTAGCATTGGAGAGTATCACATGGGCCTGATCATGGAGGCAAAATGGTGCTGTCCGGTAGCATAACAGCAAGGCATGTTTTCCACTGGAGTGTGTCCAAGTGCTTTTTGCTGATGACGCTTACTGTTGTGCCAGCTGTCAAAGGAAATTTATGTAAAGTGCCCATATCCATTTTTGCAGATCAGGCAACACAGGGTGAATTCATAGCTGAGAAACAATAAATTGATTGCTGGTAAAGTTATAATGTAGTCTGACATGTTTGCTTTTTACTTCATGTTCTGTCTGCCTAACATGGTCTATCCTTTTCCCTCTGATTTGAAATACTATCTACATCATATATTAAATACCCCAAATCACATGTGCCTGTTTCTGAACTTTAGCTTTAGTCTGTTTCATTGCTAGGTTTTTCTACTTTATATGCAATCCACCCTCTCTCTCTGTTTTTTTTTTTTATTTTTATTTTTTTATTTTTTTTTTAAAGATTGATTTATTTGACAGGCAGAGTTAGAGAGGCAGAGGCAGAGAGAGAGAGAGGTCTCCCATCCACTGCTTCACTTCTCAGATGACCGTGATGGCCGGAGCTGCGCCAATCCAAAGCCAAGAGCCAGGAGCTTCCTCTGAGTCTCCCATGGAGGTGCAGGGGCCCAAGGACTTGGGCCATCTTCCACTGCTTTCCCAGGCCATAGCAGAGAGCTAGATTGGAAGTGGAGCAGCTGGGACTAGAAACTGTGCCCATATGGGATGCGGCACTGCAGGAGGCGGCCTTACCCACTACGTCACAGTGCTGGCCCCAACATACACACACGCACACACACACACACACACACACTCTCTCTCTCTCTCTCTCTCTTTTTTTTTTTAAAAGATTTATTTATTTGAAGGGCAGAGTTACAGAGAGGAAGAGGCAGAGAGAGAGAGAGTGAGAGAGAGAGATGTCTTCCATTTGCTGGTTCACTCCCCAGATGGTCGCAATGGCTGGAGCTGTGCCGATCCGAAGCCAGGAGTCAGAAGCTTCTTCCAGATCTCCCACGCGGGTGCAGGTGTCCAAGGACTTGGGCCATATTCCACTGCTTTTCCAGGCCATAGCAGAGAGCTAGATTGGAAGTGGAGCAGCTGGAACTTGAACCGGCATCCATATGGGATGCTGGCATGGCAGGCAGTGTCTTTACCTGCTACTCTACGGCACCAGCCCCATCCAGCACACTCTCTTAATCAGAATAGCTTTGAATAAAAAAAAAAATGTATTATTGGATGAATATCTCTTCAATTTTCTTTTTTTTAAACTTTTATTTAGTAAATATAAATTTCTAAAGTACAGTTTATGCATTACAATGGCTTCTCCCCCCCATAACTTCCCTCCCACCCGCAACCCTCCCAACTACTACTCCCTCTCCCATTCCATTCACATCAAGATTCATTTTCAATTATCTTTATATACAGAAGATCAATTTAGTATATAATTAAGTCAAGATTTCATCAGTTTGCACCCACACAGAACACAAAGTGCAAAATACTGTTTGGGCACTAGTCATAGCATTAATTCACATTGAACTACACATTAAGGACAGAGATCCTACATGAGGAGTAAGTGCACAGTGACTCCTGTTGTTGACTTAACAATTTGACACTCTTGTTTATGGCATCAGCAATCTCCCTAGGCTCTAGTCATGAGTTGCCAAGGCCATGGAAGCCCCCTGAGCTTGCCGACTTTGATCTTATTCCGACAAGGCCATAGTCAAAGTGGAAGTTCTCTTCTCCCCTCAGAGAAAGGTACCTCCTTCTTTGATGGCCCATTCTCTCTACTGGGATCTCACTTGCAGAGACCTTTCATTTAGGTTTTTTTTTTTTTTTTTTTTTGCCAGAGTGTCTTGGCTTTCCATGCCTAAAATACTCTCATGGGCTCTTCAGCCAGATCCAAATGCCTTAAGGGCTGACTCTGAGGCCAGAGTGCTGTTTAGGACATCTGCCATTCTATGAGTCTGCTGTGTATCCCATTTCCCATGTTGGATCGTTCTCTCCCTTTTTTATTCTATCAGTATTAGCAGACACTAGTCTTGTTTATGTGATCCCTTTGACTCTTAGACCTATCATTATAATCTATTGTGAACTGAAATTGATCACTTGGAATAGTGAGATGGCATTGGTACATGCCACCTTGATGGGATTGTATTGGAATCCCCTGGCACATTTCTAACTCTACTGTTTGAGGTATGTCAGCTTGAGCATGTCCCAAATTGTACATCTCCTCCCTCTCTTATTTCCACTCTTATATTTAACAGAGATCACTTTTCAGTTAAATTTAAACACCTAAGAATAATTGTGTGTTAATTACAGAGTTCAACCAATTAACTAGAACAAAAAAATGCTAAAAGGGATAAAGTATTAAATTGTACATCAAGAGTGATGATGAGGGCTGATCAAGTCCCTGTTTCTCATAGTGTCCGTTTCACTGCACGAGGTTTCCTTTTTGGTGCTCAGTTAGTTGTCACCAATCAGGGAGAACATATGATATTTGTCCCTCTGGGACTGGCTTATTTCACTCAGCATGATGTGGTCATATTTGCCATTGTTAGTATCATCTTGATGGTGTTTATCACAGTAGTGCTAGCCTGTTATTATTCCCAGGTGAGCACTATCATCTTACTTTTACATATTGTTTTGCCTGCTGGAAACAATCTGAACAATTTCAGTTTACAGTCTTATCTGTGAGGACTTCAAAAATTTCATGGAAAATATGCGTTATGCAAAAACTATACATAGATTCCAAGATTTTTTTTGTACCAGAATAAACCTGTTTTAATTCCAGTTTTCCATTAACTTTTTGAAGTATATTTGTACTTGAGTTCTTCCTTCTACCCTTAAACAGTTTGAAGGACTTTCTTTCCATTCAGTTTCCCTCAGAAAATTTTTAAGATTTGGCTTATCTACCTTCATGAATTTTTCTTTCCAAGGTAAAATTGAAGCTATCTATAATTAGGTTTATTCTTTAAAGGAAATTCATGGCTTTGTGGTCAGTAAATGCCTGGAACATTTATTTAGTTTTGATAGTAGAAGAGTGCCAGATTTTCTTTTCATTTTTTCTATTCTGTTCTGAAATCTCTTAAAAAGAAACCTAACTTAAATATGTAGTAGTTCAAATTCATTCTTTGCTGTTGTAGCACATGATGTGAGAATATATATTTTATATTTATTCCTTTCTTACATCTACTAAGTATTCATATATCATTTTGATTTGACTCTTATTCATGATAAATAAGGGTTTTCATTATTATATTTGATATCTTGAAACAGAAGAATTTCCTGAAACAACCACAAAACTATTGAGGAAACTTGAAGACATTTCTGACTTTTTTTTCTGCCAATTTCATTTTACAGGAATCAAGAACCCAGTCTCGGTTGCAAACAGACTCTTGTGTGAAGGGCAGAAGGGCAAGCTCTCGGCTGGCAGAATTCCTCCCTGGTAACCACTTTCTTCTTCCCACGTTTTCACTGGGTCTTTAGTATTTAGTGCATGCAGTATTTGAAGGCTGTTTTTATCCACAGAAAGCTGATGCTTTGGAATACAGTAGTAATAGCAAGGCTTTGAGAGGAAGACACACTTGTTCTCTGATCTTGAAATACTTCGAAAACTTGATAAAATTCCAGAGGGGAATAGAATATTATGAATTAAAGCAGAGAAGAGCAGAGTTAATTTTGGGTTGTATAGTTGATTATAGAGTTGTTTTTACTATTACTAAGCGCTCATTTGAGTCATCTTGTTATGAAACTTTAAAAGTATCTTGATGATTGGAGTCTGGAGTCTATGAAGTAATTTTTAATTTAATTTGGAGAATTTTTTTTTTTTAAAGATTTATTTGAGGTCGGTGCTGCGGCTCACTAGGCTAATCCTCCGCCTTGTGGCGCCGGCATACCGGGTTCTAGTCCTGGTCGGGGCGCCGGATTCTGTCCCGGTTGCCCCTCTTCCAGGCCAGCTCTCTGCTGTGGCCCGGGAGTGCAGTGGAGGATGGCCCAAGTGCTTGGGCCCTGCACCCCATGGGAGACCAGGATAAGTACCTGGCTCCTGCTATTGGATCAGTGCGGTGCGCTGGCTGCAGCGCGCCAGCAGCGGCGGCCATTGGAAGGTGAACCAACGGCAAAAGGAAGACCTTTCTCTCTGTCTCTCTCTCTCTCACTGTCCACTCTGCCTGTCAAAAAAAAAAAAAAAAGAAAAAAGAAAAAAAAAGATTTATTTGAAAGGCAGAGTGACAAAGAGGAAGAGACAGAGAGAAAGAGATCTTCCATTTGCTGATTCATTCCCCAAATGGTCTTAAGAGCTGCGGCTAGCCAGGCTGAAGCCAGGAACTAGAAATTCCATCTGGGTCTCCCATGTGGGTGGTAGGGGTCCAAGGACTTAGATCATCTTCTGCTTCATCCTTAGGCACATTTGCAGGGAGCTGGATTGGAAGTAAAGCAACTGGGATTCAAACTGGCACTCTAGTATGTGATGCTGGTATCATAAGTGGCAGCTTAACTTGCTGTACAGCAATGCTGGCTCCCAGTTCCAATAGCTAACAATGTTTTTTCTTTCATGTATCTCATGCATCTTGACTTTTCCCTATAGTATTTTAAAGCAAATCTCCCAAATTGTATTTCACCCTTAAGCAGTTTTATAAATACCTGTCTTTGCAGAACATAGCCACCATTCTGCTAGATACCTAATAATATTAATACATATATCTTTTTTAAAAAATATTTATTTTACTTGAAAGTCACAGTTACACAGAGAGAAGAGAGGCAGAAAGAGAGAGAGAGAGAGAGAGGTCCTCCTTCCGTTGGTGCACTCCCTAGATGGCTGTGATGGCTGGAGCTGTACCGATCCGAAGACAGGAGCCAGGAGCTTCTTCTGGGTCTCCCACGTGGGTGCAGGAGCCCAAGGACTTGGGACATCTTGTACTGCTTTCCCAAGCCATAGCAGAGAGCTGGATTGGAAGTGGAGCAGCCGGGTCTCAAACCGGCGCCCATATGGGATGCCGGCACTGCAGATGGTGGCTTTACCTGCTATGCCACAGCTCCAGCCCCAATACATATTTTATTTATTTATTTATTTATTTATTTATTTATTTATTTATTTTTCGACAGGCAGAGTGGACAGTGAGAGAGAGAGAGAGAGACAGAGAGAAAAGTCTTCCTTTTGCCGTTGGTTCACCCTCCAATGGCTGCCATGGCCAGGAAAGAATCCAGCGCCCCTACCGGGACTAGAACCCGGTGTGCTGGCGCTGCTAGGTGGAGGATTAGCCTATTGAGCCACGGCGCTGGCCATACCTATGTCTTAATACCATCTCATATTATTCTGTGCTTAGCATGCCTGACTGTGATAGTGTGTTAGTGTTCTGTGTTGAAAGTTGTGACGTTGACACTTCTGAAGTCGTAGAAAAAGAAATTAATGAGATCTTAAAAAAAATCTTAAAATCTGTTACCTAAATATATTCAAAGTTTCCTTTTAATCACATACATTCCAATTGTTTAATAATGGTACTAAAGGGTTAATTATAAAATGTTTCTCAAGGAAATAGTGATTTTTATTATTATATGGTTTGATAAAGCAAGAGGAAGAGGTAGGAAATCTGATTTTTAAAAATGATTTAGTATTTATATATTTGGAGGTTAGGGTAGCAGAGAGAGGGAGAGAACTTGAATCTGTTGGTTTACTCCCTAAATGGAAACAAGAGCTAGGGTTGGGTCAGACTGAAGCCAGGAGCCCAGAACTCCATCTGGTCTCCTCTCTGGGAGGCAGGGAAACACATACTTGGATCATCATCCTCTGATTTCCCAGGGGTATGAGCAGGAAGCTGGATTGGAAGTGGAATTGCTGGGATTCAAACCAGGACTTTGATGTGGGAGTCCAAAGCAGTGGCTTAACCTCCTGTGCCACAACTCATCTCAAAATCTGATTTCTTGAGATCAGTTCTAATATGAGGGCACCCGAAAGTTTGTGGAAAAAATGGAGTTAAAATGTAAGTTTATCTTGGTGCAAAACATTTATTTTTAAATATTTATTTTATTTATTTGAAAGAGCTGTGGGGGGAAGACAGAAATTTTCCATCTATTGGTTAACTCCCCAAGTGACTGCAACAGCCAGGGCTAGACCAGACCGAAGTCAGAAGCCAGGAGCTTCCTTCGTGTCTCCCATGTGGGTGCAGGGGCTCAAGCACTTGGGCCACCCTGTGCTGCTTTCACAGGTACATTAGAGGAGAGCTGGGTTGGAAGTGGAGCAGTCGGGACTTGAATTGGCACCCATATGGGATGCTGGTGTTGCAGGTGGCAGCTTTACCCACTGTGCCACAATGCTTGTCACAGTGCAAGATATTTTGAAATCGATACATACAAGTGGTGTTCAGAAAGATCATGTAAAATACAAATTTTTGTGTACCAAAATAAACCTATTTTTTATTTCCATTTTATGAAACCTTTCAAAAGTGCAGTCAGATATGTTTGATATCAGTAGGTTTCATTATAATTTTGGAAGTGAGAAAAGTACTTTAAGATATCGTATATTTACTTTTTTCATAATTTTTTTAAACACATGCTTTGGGTCTAACTGATATGAAGTCTGTCAACCCAAATGTTGCTAAGTGTTTATTCAGTGGGTACATCCATCTGTATCTTCTTAGGAAAGTAATAGTTGTAAGGTCATTGTTTCTGTATTTTCCTCAAGGTGATTTTGAATTTGACTGTGTTATTTTACCCATATTTCCCATTTTATATAGAACATAGGACTAACTGAGTGGAGGAAGACAGGTACTCAATAGAGAAGAAAAGGTACACAGTTGTTTTAGCTGACAAAAAAAAAAAAAACAGCATAAATACTGTAAAAAGTATTTTGAAGTTCTCCTACATATCTACAATAATGCTATTCCCTACACTCCTCATGGCATTTACCAAACAAATTCTCAAATTTATATTAAACAGCAAGTGTATAAGAATAGCCAAGACAATTTTGAAACATATCAAAGAGTTGGACTTATCTAGTAGATAGCATACCTTTTTTTCAGGCATGCTTCTGAGATACTGTGTGCTTTGTTCCAGATCCTCACAGTACAGTGACAATTGCAGTAAAGTGAGTCACATATCTTTCTGGTTTCTCAGTGCATATAAATGTTGTGTTTATAATATACTGCAGTCTAATAAGTGCAATAACATGTCTAATAAAACAAATGCTTTATTGCTAATAAATGCCAATGGTCATTTGAGCTGTTAGAAAATAGCTTGCTTGATACAGGGTTGCCCTAACCAAACTTTTTTTTTTTTTTTAATTTATTTGTTTCTTTGAGAGGCTGTTACACACAGAGATAGAGAGGTACACAGAGAGATCTTCCATCAGCTAGTACATTCCCCAAATGGCCGCAACAGCCAGGTCTGGGACAGACTGAAACCAGGAGCCAGGAACTCCATCTGCTTTCCCACATGGGTGGCAGGGACAAGAGTACCTCGACCATCTTCTATTGCTTTCCCAGGCACATTAGCAGGGAACCAAATCAGAAGTGGAGCAGCCAGGATGTGAACCTGTGCTCTTATGGTGTTACAGGCAGCATCTTTACCCACTGTTCCACAATGAGGCCCCTGCCACAAACCTTTAATTTGTAAAAAACAGTGTCTCTGATTTATATTGAAGTGAAGCAAATACAATAAGGTATGCCTTTAGTGTACTCTAATAATTAAAACAGTTTATATCAGGATAGCTTAAAAAGATCAGTAGGCAGAACATATGATAACAGTGTCATCTCAAATCATTGTGAGAAAAAAGGATCGGCCTAGCTCTGTCCCTTGCAGCTATTTGGGGAGTGAACCGGCAGATGGAAGCCCACCCCCGCCCCCGCCTCTGCATCTCTGTAACTCTGCCTTTCAAATAAATAAATAAATCTAAAAAAAAAAGAAAAGAAAAAAGGAGGTTATGTTAATGATAATGAAGTAGCAAAAATCTTAAGGTAAAAAATGGGGGGAGGGTATTACTGTGCTGTGGCAAAGCAGGTAAAGCTGCTGCCTGTAATGCCAGCGTCCCATACGGGCTCCAGATTGAGCACCAGGTACTCTGCTTCCGATCCAGCTCTCTGCTAATATGCCTGGGAAAGCAGTGGAAGATGGCCCAAGTCCTTGTGTGGATGAAACTTCTGGCTTCTGGCTTTGGCCTGGCCAGCCCTGGCTTTTGTGGCCATTTGTTGAGTGGACCAATTGATGAGAGAGCTTTTTCTCTGCCACTCAAATAAATAAAATAAAATTGAAAAGAGGTATTCTAAATTTTAAAAAGTGGTAAAAGATACACATAGTTTATGGAAAAGAAAGTAATTGGAGCATATACATACATGAAAAGGTGCCCATCATAATTTTGATCAAGGAATTACGTTAAGATTTTTGCCTTATTGATATAGCAAAATTAACAAGGACCAATAATATTTAATATTGTTGAGGGTACAGAAAAACAGA